TCACTTAAATCTATTTTTTTTTCTTCCTTGCCCTCCCATCCCTGCTAAGGGAAAAGAAAATTTGTGGGAAAATTTTCTCTCTTCCAATGAGGAGAAACACTTAAATTCATACAGGAGAATCATATTTCACAAAACACTGGAAACTGATCATTGACATGTTGTTGTCTCAAAATAGTTACAGTGAATACTTTTATGTGCACCAAGTTTAGTTAATTTCTCATTTGTTACTATTATACCTATGAAATCTAAAACAAATTTGGTTTTGTGAAGAATACTACAAGGAAATTGAAATTCAATTCAACTAATTGATATTTTTATTAGAATGGTTGTAGCAGATTGGTTAGCATTCTCATTTATAACAGAACTGTACCTGGCAGCAGCTTAGAAATTATTTTTCAGTGATCTGAAACAGACACACCAAAGGGGACCATCTGACAGTGTAGTAGGAACTGACTGGCTCTTGCCCAAGAAATTCCAGATTACAGTTCAGATCTGTTGATTTACACTCTGCAGTTACCCTGTCTATTAAGCTATCTGGAGAGGATAAGCCCTTAATAACCAACTTTGGTTTTTCTTTTTGCAGCAGTGAGTCTGATATTAACCCTGCAAGCAGAGATAGAATCACTTTTTAGAGGTTATTAAATTTTTTTGTGAAGAGAATTTAATATACTTCCAAAAGAGGGTAGTTATGTTTGTGTGTCAACTTGGCTGGGCCTGGTTAAGTGGCTGGGCAGCTGGTGGTAGTTATTCCCCACGATGAGACTGGCAATCAACTCCATAGTGGGATCTACCACAAGCAGCTGAGTAGCTGCCTTTGGGATGTGGTCTGCTTCCTATATATAAGGAGAAGCTTTGAGAATGGTCTCTAGCCTATGGCACGCTTATTACGCAGCCTGTCGTGCTCTGCCAACCTTGGTACTTAAAATGGACTTGAATTAATGGCCTGCTGTGTGGTTTGGTAACGTTGGGACTGTGCTTTTTTACTTGTCAATCTTGGTTTTTCAGCCTCAGCAGCCAGCAGCTGTCTGAGTGAAGAAACACCTCTAGCTCCAGTGGGCCAGAAGCAGGAGGCAGAGGTGGACCCCAAGGTTGAGGGCCTTTCACCCAGCCCCTAGAGCCTGGCACTTGAACTTGGACTTAAAGGCTCCAAATTGTAAGAATAAACTCCTGTTTGTTAAGGCCATCCCATTTGTGGTATATTTCTTGAGAGAGCGGCACTAGGTAGCCAGAACAGGGTATAAATGACTTCCTGGTTGCATTTTTTTTTCCCCATTAAAAAAATCACTCAAGTTTTTACCTTTATAAAAGCTTTATGAAACAGTTTAAAATTAATCATTAACAACTGTGGACTTAACCTTGACTGTATACTGGTAATTGGGAAACAGAAGAGAAGACAAAATTAGTACCACCATATGCAATTGAAATGTCTAGCCTGTCTTCGTTTTCTCCCTCACACTCACCACCCCACCCCCATCCAAGCCGTGTTAAATCTGTCTCTTCACCTTGTTTGCTGTCCTCACCCTGTTCTCGTTTGCCCTTCCATTGTTTGTTTCAGTCGTCATCACCTGTTGCCTAGACAGTTCTCTTTCTCACTGCTTCCTCCCTTTGCCTCTGGTCTTATACTCCTTCTGATTCATTTTTCTTGCTGTCAGTTTTCCTCCTAAAACCTATTCTAATCCTGTCATTTCCCTCTTAAATTTTTCAAAACTCTGAGCTGACTATAGGAGATAACTAAAACTGTCAGCCATCAAGCCAAAATCTGCCCCCAATTCATTCTTATATACTCTGTACAGTATTGTTTGTTTGCACCAGCATTTAAAAACCAGGAGATTTTACATGAAAATGTTTTGGCTTTTCTTGAAAAACTGGAAGATCTGACAACCCTGGACCCTGCATGGCAACCATCGGTTGGCTGAGGGGTCATTTGTTTTAAATAGGGGAGGCATCTCCTGTGGTCTAACTTCATTCATTGGCTGGGCCTGAATACCAACCTACCCCCTTTTGTAGAGCATACAGGCTAGTACCTGCCCTCTTGACTCATTTAAGGCACTGAAGGCCCTGTGAGCAAATTGTCACCCCTGGGCAGATGTCCTCCCAAATCTTGACCCTTCATTCTCTATTTTCATCTCTTTTAAACACTAGAATCCAGCCAGGTTGGACTTGCCCCTGTTGTTTGTGTCCTCTTGCCCCTCTTAGATTAAAGAGGGACAACTTCTGACACTTCTGCACCTAAACTGCAGACTGCAGCAAACCCTCTTAGGACATGTTCCTGACACACAAACTCTTCTTTTCCCAAGGCCCCACAGTGTTTTATGCTGCTTTGCCCTTTGACACACTGTTTCCTCTCCAACACATCCAGGCAGAATTAATTCTGTGTTTCTGTGCTTTCTTAACATTTGGTATATATACCTCTTTTTTCCTCCTCATGGTTACCACATTGTGTCATCTAGAACGGAACAACTTGAGGGCAGGATCTGCATCTTACTTATTGGAATACCCCTAGCATCTGGCACATCAAGATGTGCAGCATGGGTTTTTGAATGAATTTGATAATATCAGGCATGTAATAGTTACATACTAAAGAGTGGTTAACTTTTTCAAAGTTACATGGGTGTCTAGTACTCAGAAGTTAAAAGTGGTTGTGGGGAAGCTGATGGTCAATAGCACAGCTGAGCATAATGGAAAAATTTATCACCTTAGAATGACCAGTTTCTGTTTTGATATGTTCCATGATTTTTTTTCATGCAACTCATCTATTAATCTTTGTTGCTAGATTCCCACCATTCTCAAAACCTCATAACTCTTTTCCCAAACTTGGGTAATGACACGCTATTTCTTCTTTTATTCACAGAGGACTGGTTTTTAAATTTGGCCGCACTGAAGACTTGTGGCAGTGAGAATACTTCCTATAGCACAGCAGCCCTGTGTGGGTTTTTTTACTCTTCACTCCCAATCTTTTATAATGCCATTTTCTAAACTTATTTCTGAGTGTAGTCTCGGCTTCAAGTTGTGTAAGACTAAAATCATGAGAACTTCAATTTAAACAACAAAATAATCTGTTGTGGTTTGCACGTGATTAACTTACAAAATATTAAAGGAAAATATTTCATGAGTAATTTTTTTAATCAAATTTTATCATGGTATAATTTGTAAAAATAAAAATAAATTACAAAAGAAATTATGGATATTATCTATATGAGTATTTGTCATATCAGAGCTCCAAAATAGCAATTAAAGTACTCTGAAGATTTAATGTATTTATTTAAATGTGGCATCTTCAGTGTTAAATGAAGTGTAAATGGTTTCTTGTTCTAAAATTTCTTTCTCACTCTACTTTGTTTTGGCTTATACACTTTTACCAAAAATTCTGTAAACATTTCAGTGTAAATATCTATTCAGGGCTTCCCAAGCAGTGAAATGACATCTCGGAAGGGAGAAGCCCTGTGATCTGGCCGCCAGGCTTGTCATGTCCCTTAGTGGGGATCTCTTCTGTGCAGCTCATTCTGGTGGGTGGGGAGTATAACTCAGCTGGGGTACTTGGTCCTGGTGAGACGCTGACAGTCATTTCACATCCACCATTGATCGTTGAAGGTAGAGAAAAAAGAGAGAGACTTAACTCCAGTCCCTTACTTAGTGACTTTGTTGTTGTTATTGTTGATGGTGGTCTAATAATAGAATTAGATTCCATGCTTCATTTTGTCTCTGATTAGAAGACTGAACCACTAAGCTCATGCTAGACCTGCCAGGTCAATTACAGTTATAAACATTATTGGTAATTCTTACAGCCTTTTCCTTAAGAGGAACTCTGTTACCCTCCCAGGCTTCCAACCTTAGCAAAATGGAATTTTTTTTTTTAATGAACTAACTAATTGTGGGATGAATATTCTTCAGTACTACAGCTTGAAATGTTTTCTTTCATAAAACTTGCTACACTTAGCCCTTCATTAAACACACAATATCGCTTATATGATTTAAATCTCTGGTATTCTTTTCTATGTCTGCCATTGTTATCTGCCAGTATCTATGTTTTGAGTAATGCCTGGTCCTTAAGACACTACTCAAAGAAATGACTGTGTTGCTGTCATCCTACAGCAAATCAATCATGGTGAATTTCTAGATCCATGAATCTGAGAATTGAAGGGAATGCTAGGGGTTGAGGTCTACCCTCTCTTTTTACAGGTGAGAGAGTCCATCCAGACCATGGAAATCTAAGTAGTTTCTCCAGGGTCATAGAGTTTTTCAATGCTGAGGCAGTGAGTGTATCTGCCACCCCACAAGTGACCACATCTTTCTCCGAGTGCAATTCAGAATGTGCTCAGGGAAAGAATGACCTTGTAAAACTCCTAGAATAAAAGCATAATGTCTGCAAGGACAGTGAGTTCTTAATTTTTCCCTATTTTGTATTATCTGCTGATGTAGACAAGAGTTAACTGGGTAGTGCACACTATAAGCAGGAGAAAGAATCTAAAGAATTGTAAATAAAATGTAATTGAAACCTTAATTATGTGTCCGCACCCAAGAAAATATTTATAGCATCATCTTTAAGGAAAACATTTATTTAAAACCATTATTAAATGACCACTTAAAACTTAAAGTTTTTAGTCTTTTATTTACAATATCAAGTCTATCTCTGACCTTGTTTCACTGAACATAATGAGGCCTTGCAATAATGAGTGGTGCACAAAAAAATGTGGGAAACAGCAAAGGAAAGCTATCTTATTTTTAAACAGGACTTGTTCTCCTTGGGTACCTGAGTTTAAAATCCAGCAGCCAGATGAGGAAACTGTAAAATAAAGCAAACATTTTCATTACAGATGAACCCTTATACTCTTAAAATTTATATACATATTGATTCTGGCTTGATCTTTTGAAATTTGGGGTTACTTAAATGTTACCACAATGAAGTTAGAAGTTCTTTCATAAAATCCTAATTGGAGGAGTTCATGTCCTATAGTCTTTTGCAAAGATCATTGATAAATAATCATCTAGGTTCTGTTTGAAGCCTCCAGTTATAGGAAACTTAACTCTCAAATGCAGTGGCTTATCCATTTTACAGACAGTTCAAACTGTTAGAAACTTATACTGTGCTGCCCATTGGGCCTAGTTAAATTCTTTGGAGAAACAGAAAATATTTTTCCTCTTCTACATGACAGTCTTATAAGTGTTTGAAGAGAGTGCTCAGTTGTCCTTTGAGTCTTCTGCAAGCTGAATCTATCCTGAGTGCTTCTGTAGAACCATAGCACAGCCTGCCGCCCAGCATCCCTGCACGTTGAATAACCTGGGACCACAAAATTCTAGAACTGGATACCAGAGCAGCTAACACACATGGGCTGTTTTCTATGGACCAGTCGGTATGCTAGCATTTCACACATACTATTTCCTTAAATCCTCAACAACCCAGTGAGAGTGTTACTATTATCCACATTTCAGAGCTGGGGAGTCTGAGGCTCAGAGGTCACAGAGCTGCAAGCGGTAGAGTCCAGATCTGTCTGACTCCAGAGCACACTCTCTTAGAATATGGAATTTGATCTCATTTTGTAGATACAGAAATTGTGTCGCAGGAAAGTAAAATGACCTGCCTGGGGGCTCAGTTCAGGGCAGTGTTCTTTTCACTGGACCTCCCTGAGACTGGAAGAGGCAGTGGCAGCTCGCAATCTGTGCTCCTTTATTTTCAGAGCTGGCGCTCCTCATTTTGGTTGAACAGGCATTGGTTGGATACCTCCTGTGTGCCTAGAGCATCTGTTTTAATTCAGAGGCAGGGATGATACCAATGTGACAAGGCCAGATTTTAACAGCTTTGTCTAATAAAACAGCAAGAGGTACTCAACACATTTGGTTGTGGTTTTGTGCCAAAACTGATGGTGTTTATCTTTTTTGGCAAAAAATCTTAAATGGCAAATATTTGTTCAGAAGCCAGTGAGTGGTCTTCAGTAAATTGCAGGCATTTCAGAATCCATCCTACATGCCTAATCCCATCATTCTCCGTAACTCTAAGAACACTCATTTTACTGCATCGTTCACCTACTCAAGCCTTTGGGAGCTTCCAGTTGTCTGTAGGAGGGAATGCAAGTGCCTTTAGCCTGTCTTCCAGCCTGCTCTTCACAAACTACTGAGCCAGGTTGCTTTATGCTGCTGCTGTTTTTGCTCACAACCTTCCCCCAGCTTAGAGTATCTTTTACTTCCTGTCTCATAGTTAAATCCAACACAACTCCCAAGTTCCATTTTCTCAAGGCTGTGCATGACCTCTCTGAATTCTAGCAGCTACTGCCAGCATTACTTACACAGCACTGAACAGGTAGAGCTGTGCACACGGAAGGATCCAGTGCTCCTAAGTCATTCAATCCCTAGTTTCTTTGCACGCTATACAATGCCCAGCTCAGGGGCTTGCCCACAGGAGAATTCCTCACTTGATTTCAGAAAGGTTAATTGTAGAATTAATTTTAAAAAAGTGATGTCACTGGGTCCTTGTGTTTTGGAAAATACGAAATAAAATCTGTTCAGTAAAGTGAAATGAAGGAAGCAATTTAATCCTTTAGTGAAGACATAGGACACACACACACACAAAAGTGTTGTAAACTGAACTTTTATAAATTAGTATGTGGATTAGGATCATGATAAACTACAAGGAGATAGGGGATCAGTGTATCCAGCTCCTTGAGACCTAGAACTAGGTTTTATTTAGTTTTGTCTCTCCAGCACTTAGCACAGTGCCCGGCACATATTAGTTAATGCATTTTGTGGGATGAATTAGTGAGTGAATTTTAACAGACCCATCTAAGGAAGAGATGGATGCCCTTAGCAAGTGGTGAGGGCTCCATTCCAGGAAATGCCCGGCGTACATACTCTGAGCAACCAGTGAAGGAATAGTTGAGCTCACTTTAATTAGTCTATTCTAACCCTAGCAATCTGGTTCTATGAATAAGGGGATTCAATAAAGTTTAAAATGGATAGTTTATATATATTTTTTAAAATCACCCCTAGATTTAATCAGCTTTGCAAATTTGAATTCTTGCCTCTTTAGTGGGTTTTGGGCTTTTCAAATGCAAGCAGTTAAGTGCTATACTGCTGAGTAAATGGTTTTACTCAGCTGCAAGAAAATAATTCCAAATATTAGGGTCGTAGAAACCAACTCTTCTCCAGTAACTGCCACAACGCATGCACACAAACCTGCTGTGTCTTTGGAGCCAAGCCAACATCAATCCAAATCCCTCCTGTTCCATTTACTAGCTCTGTAATTTTGGACAAGTTACTTAATTTCTATAGGCCTCAATTTCCTCATCTTTAAGATGAGGATACTTACTTTCATGCAGGGTGGTTGTGAGGATAAAATTAGATAATGCTGAAATGCGTCTAGCACAGAATCAGAAACAGCAGGCCCACAATAAGTGATAACTATTAAGCTTATGGGAGCTCTAGTAGCGTAGTGGCTAAGGCACTTGACTGCTAACCAGAAATCTGGTGGTTCAAACCCACTAGCCACTCCTCAGAAGGAAGATGGGGCAATCTACTTCTGTAGTGATACTGCTTCGGAAACCCAAGGAGGAGGGGTCGCTATGAGTCGGTCCGACTCAAAGGTACATAACAACAACATTAAGCTTATAATGCTCCTTGTGGTTGGCTAGAGCCCTAGGAATAAACTTCTGCACTCCTGTGGTGCTTTACATTTTACAGTATCGTTTAGACATCATTACCCCATTTGATCTTTAAAGCAACCCCTTGAGGTAGAACAATGATAACTATTTTTATTTCACCCACAAGAGAGGTCAAGGATCTTGCAGAAAGGTGACTGGAATCCAGGTCTTCTCACCCCAGGTGTACACTCCCTCTACTTCACCTGCTACTGCAATGTTCGGCAAGATTCTTCAGATTTATTTGTTCAGCGAAGACTTATTGTACCTCAACTTTTTGAGTTGTGTATTCATCCTGCTGGTGGTATCTCTGTCTATAGTAGTTGCTCAAACAAATGCTTGTGGAATGAATGAATCAATGAAACCAGTTTTCAGAGTCCCTTCATGAGATCACCCTGCTTCTACTAAAGGGGCAACAACACTTGGCTGTGGTAGGGTACTGAGAGAGACTGGCTGTTAGGAGAAGCCAAGAGCTAAGGCTTTAGAGAGAAGCTGGTGCAAGACAAGGCAAGTTATATGCAATAACAGGGATGCATGTCAGAATAATTATGCTGAGTTAAGCCAGATAAAAAAAGACATAGTATAGGATTCCATTTACATAAAATTCTAGAAAATGCAAACTAGTGACAAAAAGTAGTTCAGCATTTGCGTGGGGATACGAGGAGGCAGGGAGGGGTTTCAAAGGGGCCTGGAGGAAGCATTTGATGGTGATGAACATGCTTATTGTCTTGATTGTGGTGATGTTTTCACAGGAGTACACCTCTACTGAGGAGCTCTAGTAGCGTAGTGCCTAAGGCACTTGACTGCTATCCAGAAGGCTGGTGGTTCAAACCCACCAGCCACTCCTCAGAAGGAAGGTTGGGCAATCTACTTCCGTAGTGATACCGCCATGGAAACCCAAGGAGGGGGCCTTATAAGTCGGGTCCAACTCGATGGCACATAACAACACCACCACCACCTATATTGAAACATATCAAACTGTACACTTTAAGTCGTGCAATTTATTGTATGACAATTATACCTCATTGAAGCCAGAAGAGGAGGACAAGAAAGAGAGGAAGGAGATAGGAGGAAGAGGGGAAAAAAGGAGGCAGAGGAGTGTTTGTCATGATGACAAACAGTACAATGTAACACAGAGACCCTGAGCAGCAGGTAGGTTGTTAGAGCACTTTCTCTCTGCTAAATGGCCCCAGACTTCTATACTACAGGTTTTCTTGTGTTCATTAGTCACAACTTATCAAGACCTGTGTTTGAGACTCAGCTCTGTGACTCGCTCACTGTGAGATCTTGGACAAGCCATTTTCCCACTCTGAGCATCTGTCAAATGAGGGGTTGAACTTGATGACCTCTGTGGTTCCTTCTGGCTCCTATATTCCCTTTGTTTCTAACCATTTGCCCACTTTGATGACTCCATAGGGGGAGTGGAAATCACAGTCAGTGGCAGTTGTCCCATCTCTGACTCTGACGACTTCCAGGCATCAGGAAAATATGGTAATCATTAACCACCTTGTGGCCAAGACACACACACAACAAACATGGATTTACTCCTTCCCCAATGCTCTTCATTTTTGTTTGAATCTCATAAACACCAAGGTCACATACATAACTAGATAACTTTTCAAGTTCATGAACTCAAATTCTATAATGGTAATAGGTTTTTTTTAAAAAAAAAAAAAAAAAAACTTACCTCCCAGTAAGCTTGGTCGTCAAAATACTTAGCTACATGAGGTCCTTTCCATATTTTGAGATTTAGAAGGAAACCTGTTTAAATTTATAATAATAAAAAACTTATAATCAAAACATTTGAAGCACAGCATTTGTTTCCTCAAGATTAATCAAAATATCATATGTCAACTATGATATCTCAGCACAAATCCTTTATCTTCCACAACCAGGAGACAAATTAAAACACTGTCTTTCCTTGACCAGCTTAATTAATTCTATAGTCATCTTCTGAAAGGAACTGGCAAGAACAATGATCCCTAAAGGATTTAGATTACACTGAGCAGTATACAAAAACCACGTATCTGACACCTTTCCCAGCAGGGAACAGAAGAAGGGTCACCTCCACATACAGACTATGTTCCCTTGCTTTGCTTTATTTTTCTTCCTAGAAAAATACCAGTATCTGACCAAACATATATTTATTTGTCTATTTATTACCAGTGTCCCTCACTAGAATGTCAGCTCCATGAGATTGAGGATTTGCTTTGTTCACTGCTGTGTTCCCAGTGCCTAGAACAATGTCTGGATCATAGTAGATACCAAGTAAATATTTGTTGAATAAAATAATATTATGGGTGTCCTTAGGAGTCCCTTGGCAGTACAAATGGTTAACAGACTTGACTGTGAACCAGAAGTCTGGAGGTCCTATGCCCTCAGAGACACCTCAGAAGAAAGGCCTGGTGATCTACTGAAAACTCAGCCCCTGTAAACCCTGTGCAGCACAGTTCTACTCTGACACTCGTGGGGTCACCATTAGTCAGAATGGACTTGATGGCAATTGGTTTCTCGTTTTATGGGTGTCCTCAGGGAGTAAAATGTAGGTTTTGGCATAAGGAGTTCCTTGGTCTTTTGTACAAAACTGAGTAAAATCGCCAGCTCTATGCTCAAGAGGCTACAATGTCACCCTCACCCCCTCATCCCTACTTATAATCTCAGGAAAGTCCCTTCCCTTCCCTGGACTTGAGAGTCCACATCTGAAGCGGATTATCTCTGAGAACCTTTCTAATTTGAAATTTATATGAGTCTGTAATCCACTCCCCCCCCATCAAAAAGTTGAGCCCTTTGCCTCATTTGGCTGGAGCTAAAGGACTTGGGTCGCTATGAGTCGGGGCCGACTCGACGGCACATAACAACAACAACAACAACAAAGGACTGAAGGAGCGCTGGTGGTTCTGTGGTTAAAACATTGGGCTGCTAACTAAAAGGGCAGTGGCTCGAACTCACCAGCCACTCCACAGGAGAAAGATGAGGTGGTCTGCTTTCTTAAAGATTTGCAGCCCTAGAAGCCCTATGTTGTTGTTGTTGTTGTTATGTGCCGTCAAGTCAAACCCAACTCATAGCGACCCCTCCTTGGGTTTCCGAGGCAGTATCACTACAGAAGTAGGATTGCCCAACCTTCCTTCTGAGGAGTGGCTGGTGGGTTTGAACCGCCAGCCGTCTGGTTAGCAGGCAAGTGTCTTAGCCACTATGCTACCAGAGCTCCCAGAAGCCCTATAGGGTAGTTCTACTCTGTCCTATAGAGTGGCTATGAATTAGAATCAACTCAATGGCAGTGGGTTTGGTTTTTTGTTTGGAGGTGGTCTGTTCTCAGGGCAGAGGATGGGTGTGCATACTTCCAACCGCGGGGCAGGGTGCACTCTGGGCCAGGACACTGAGCCCTGGGTCATGGTGCAGGAAGGGGTGTCATACACTGACCTGTCAGGAGACCAGATGCCACACCCATAGACACAGCCCAGCTGAGTGCCCCAGTGTTGATGAGCATCTGGTAGATGATCCTAGAAAAGACAAAGCAGAGGCAGTCACACTCTGGCACCGGCCTGCAGAGGTCATCTGGAACACACAGAACTGCTGGAGTGATTGTTAGTAGTGGTGTTATCAGGAAGGGCCATACAGAGAACAAGTATACATTCCCTAGCTGGCTCACTCCCTGTCATTTTCCTGAAAAAGCATGTAGGAGGGAAAGGGGAGGAAGGGGGAGTCTGGGATCTTCTTTGGCTTATTTTAATCCTCGGCTCCCATGGAAAATGAACTAGATGAGGAGTTAGAAAACCTGAGTTCATATTCTAGCTCCATCACTTCCTAGCTACGTGATCCTGGACAAGTCACCTACCCTCTTAGAGCTTCCCATTTCCTCATTAGGAAATTAAAGCTGATGGCAAAACTTGGCTATCAGACACATCTCCCCTGTTTTCCTCCCACGCTCCTTGAAAATTCTTCCTCTTCCTCTCTCCTTTAAGCCAACCCCAGGGCTTCATTGCAAACATGAAACTATTGGGGACCCTGAGATATTGGGTGTGGTTTTCCTAGGGCCCAATATACACCTGAGCATTGCCAGCCCCATTCTAGGCCCATGGGCAGTTGCATTGTTGTTGTTGTTGTTATGTGCCGTCGAGTCGGCCCCGACTCATAGCGACCCCTCCTTGGGTTTCCGAGGCAGTATCACTACGGAAGTAGGATTGCCCAACCTTCCTTCCGAGGAGTGGCTGGTGGGTTTGAACCGCCAGCCTTCTGGTTAGCAGTCAAGTGCTTTAGCCACTATGCTACCAGAGCTCCTAGGGCAGTTGCATAGAACAAGTTAATTTTTAAGACTTCCCAGGCTGTCAGCTCTACCATCTCATATCCCTTAATCCTCTCAATAGCCTGCTATGCGAGCTATTTGTGTCCCTATTCCGTAGATGAGAAAGCCAAGGTTAGGAAAGTGCACCAAGTGTTCCAAGATCATGTGGCTTGAAATTGGTGGGGCCTCGGATTCAAATCAGGCCTAACTGCAAAGCCCCACCAGGTGTTTCCCAAATTTCAACATTTTAGTCCATAATTGCATATGAGGGATACTTTTTTTTTTTTAACTTAATATTTTTCTGTAAGTAGACTTTTTACAAAAATAAGTATATTTAAAAGGAAACTTTGTGTCACTAGCATCAATGGAAGAGAAAGGGGAAGTAACTGGAAAAAGAGGTATAATGAAAACAAAACTTCACTAAATTCTTCCCAGATGTGGCAGCCCAAAGGCCTCATCGGCTACTGTCAAAGGGAGATTAGCAAGAGTTGGAAAGGTGGAGGCAGTCAACAGCAAATGGGCTCAGCTGTTAAAGGTTGGAAACTCACGTCTACCCAGAGGTGCCTTGAAAGAAAGGCCTGGTGATCTGCTTGTAACAAATTAGCCACTGTAAACCCTACAGAACACAGTTCTACTCTGACATGCATGGGGTCTCCATGAGTCAGGGTCGACTCACCAGTGACTGGTTAGAAGAGTGCAGACACTCAGCACCAAGTGGAAACTTTCTCTCTAATGGAAGCAAATGATTGAGAATTGGAAAAGAAGTAACACCTGCAGTATTTGTGAAACACACTCTTATGCAGGTTTATCTAAATAGGAAATTGGTAAATATCGTTTGTGGAATGAATGAAAATTCCATTGACTTACAAGCTCCATTCTCTCCATTCTTTCCATTATATCCAGACCCCTCTTGTTTGAAAGCAGAAGCATCAACAAATCATAATGGAACCACGTGTTGGGTATTTATTGCCCTCAGCCTTTTGTGATATATTACTAAATCCTCACAACAGCCTGGTGACACAGATCTTACTTTCCAATTTTACAAATAGAAAACTGAGACTTAAAAACAGAGTTTAAGTACTATGCCTATGTGTGACCTTGGTCCATCTGTCCCTGATGCTTGTGCCCTTTCCTTCCATCAGACCAAAGACTTTTTCCCAAGAAAGACCATCACTCTCACTCTACCCTTCCTGTTGCTAGGTCATTGCAGAGGAGAGAGACCAACTACTTTTTGGTCCTCAGCTAATTCATCCTGATGAGAGCTGAGTTGCAGAGATGTGCTGGAGCCAGCTCACACAGGCTACAGAGAGCTATGTTCACCCCTTCCTAAATCTGTGTTCAGTGATGTTAAGTTGGTAGCTTGAAATTAGCCACAGTGGGAGCATTTATACCATGGACATTAGCAAATGCTATAACTTAGGACTTTGTTTCCCTGGACAGCTGGTTGTTCGTCATTTACCAACACAACACTGGTCGACAACATTTTTTCTTTTTTTGCTACAGGTCAGTGGTTCTTAAACTTGAGCTAGCATGAGTATCTCCTGGAAAGCTTGTTAAAACTGACTGCTGGGCCCATATTTCTGATTGAGTACGTTTGAAGGGGCAGCCCAAAGACCTGCATTTCTAATAAACTCCCAAGTGATGCTAATGCTTTTGAGAGCCACTGCTGTGGGAGAATCACAGAATTTGGGATCCTGACAAGTAGGTGGTCCAGAGGTTACAGGCTGGCAGCCCACAAACATAATTTGGTCCATACAGTAGCTCTAAAAAATTTTTCTATTTTTGGCCAGTGTTTAGAGATTGGGAGAGGACATGCATGACTCTGGATTTCTGGATTCTCTTGAAATGTCATTAGATGTGGTGACATTGAGCCTGGGTCCCCACACAGGAGCGGAGGAGCAACTGCCCATGTTTTCCCAGTCTCTTCTCACTGGCCTCTTTTTTCACCTTTCCTATCTGGCCCTGGCAAACATCTGAGTTTGGACCCTTGCTAGGTCAACCCCTTATTGCAGAGAGGAGGACTCAAGGCCCAGGGAGAGTAAAGGATTTACCTGGCTAGTATAACAGTGGCAGATATGTTACTGGAGCTCAATACTTAGGGGCCTTGCCTCCTTACTCCAAATGGATTCTCTTTGTCCATGCCAAGAAGTCAAGGAGGGGTGTTTTACCCACCCAGATATGAGTCCTATAACTTAGGATGGTGGCATAGTGCCTAAGGCATTTGACTGCTAACCAGAAGGCTGGCAGTTTAAACCCACCTGCCACTCCTCGGAAGGAAGGTTGGGCAATCTACTTCCATAGTGATACCACCTCCGAAATCCAAGGAGGGGTCACTATGAGCTGGATCTGACTTGTTGGCAGTGGGTTTGGTGCTTTTTTTGTTTGTTTGTTTTTTAAATGTTGGAGCTGCAAGGGACTCATGAGCTCAAAAGGACCCCAGCACTCCATGACTTCTCTGAGATGCCTCCAAACACTATGAGCTCCTCATCATGCACTTCAGGTACTCCCCACCTTTACAGACAGCTTCCAGCCAAGTGATCTTGGGCAGATGACTTCCCCTAGGTATCATTTCTAGGGTATGATGGGACTTACCTCACAGGATGGTTGTAAGGATTGAATGAGATGATACATGTAATGTTCTCAGCACATGCCTAGCACTTAGACAATAGTCAGTGAAACTAGTGATTATAGTAACATTATAAGTATATCAATTCATCTGGAAACATCTCTCCCTGTAGTGTACCCAAGTCACTCTTTCATTTTTTCTAAGCTATATTACTGCCTCGGAAACCCAAGGAGGGGTCGCTATGAGTCGGGGCTGAATCGACGGCACATAACAACAACAACAACATATCCAGAAGAAACTCTGGTAGCACAGTGACTAAGATATCTGACTGCTAAGCAGAAGGTTGGTAGTTCAAACCCACCAGCTACTCTGCAGAAGCAAGACTGGGCAATCTACTTCCGTAAAGATTTACCACCTCAGAAACCCAATAAGGGTTGCTGTGAGTCAGAATTTACTTGATGGCAGTGGGTTGGGTTTGATTTTTGGTACATCCAGAAGGTAATGCCTAGTATGGCACATTGACCATTGCTATTCACTGTGTGAGGGACACAGTACCTAACTCAGGTCCAGAGCCCCATGCTCCCATCCTCCCTCTGCCACTTCCTCTTGGTGAGATCTCAGTCAAATCCCTTCTCTCCCTAGGCCTTGGTGTAAAATGATGGGATTGGACTGTGCTTAACATTTTCCTTGAAACCACGTGGGGGGGGGGGTCTGCCATCAAGTAGTGGCTAAAAAAAAATCAACAAATGACTCTTCCCAACCACCCTATGAGGAAGTGTACTACCATTATCTTTATTTACAATTGGGAAACTGAGGCTCAGACAAGTTAAGTAGCTTGCCCAACTAGTAAGTGGTGGAACCAGGTTTCAAGACCAGTCTGACTCCACAGCATACTCTTAAGTATGACCTAAACCAGAATCAGTTAAACAATGGACTCAACTGACTTGGACCTGACTGACCTTCTCTATCTGTGTTTTGATGGGCCTCAGAACTGTCTACTTTTGCCCTGCATCTAAGCTTCCCCCTTTGGAAAGAAGAAGTGGCCTAAAGAGGTGATGACTCTACACATGGTAGGAACTGGAAAGAATTTCTGAATCAGTTGGCTGAGGACCTACTGGCACTGAATGCATGCCCCCCACCTAAAGGATCTGGCATATTTCTTCCTGAGTTGGATGGGATGTTAAAGGGATGAGCCAAGTGACCCACATGGGAATCTTGGTCCAGGAGGCCTGAAGCATCATCAGCACATTGTAGGTGATCCCTCCAAGCAGACCCGGCAAGCCGAAGGTGTAGTGCACACCGCAGGTGTCATGAATCCCCAGCACAGGGTTGAAATACACCTGGGAACAAATAGCATCATAAGCAGGTCTTCAGGAGAAACTGATAATCCCTACCCACTCTTTTCACAGATCCTTGGCATCCAGGGCCACCAAAGGGGGATGGGCACTAGGGTTCACCTAAAGAGATACTCTCAGACTGGAATGTGTACTCATATCACCTTGTTAAAATGCAGAGTCATATTTTGTGAATCTAGGATGGGGGCTCAGATTCTGTATTTTTAACATTTTTAACATTAGGCCAGTGTTGCTGGTTCACAGACCACACTTTGAGTAGCAAAGGTCTAGCCTATGCACTGACATTTTGGGCTGATAATTCTTTGTTGTAGGGGCTTCCTTGTACATTGTAGGATGTTTATCAGCATTCCTTGTCTTTACCTCTAGATGCCAGATATGTCAACCCAGATGTCTCCAGACATTGCTAAAGTACCCCTGGTTGAGACTCACTGGTCTGGCCCAGCCTTGAGTATCATCCCAAAGGTGATATGGCTGGTTAGAGGAAAAGCCAAAAGAAAAAAAATTTGACCACACCTCCAGACTTCCAATTCAGGTCCTTCAGTCTCACCATTTAGCTTCCCTGAGGAGGCTAAATTTGGACCAAATACAAATCCCTCCTTAGATATTTCATTGTCTTCAGAATAAAAATCCAGGCCTGTCAGCTAGCCCAAAAGATACATCTGAGCCATCCCATCTTTTGAGGTTCTGGTTCTGCCATGTTCCACCCTAAACTACGCCTACACCATAAGAACTTGTTTCTGTTTCCTATTGGACTCAATGCTCTTCTCACCATTGAGTCTTTGTACATATTGTTCCTAATTCCTTAGCTAATACTACTTATTTGCCAACATTCAGCTGAGACATCTGCTCTGGGGAGCATTTCATGACCTGCCCCTGGCTAGCTTAGATGTGCTCCTGTAGCAGTTATCACACTGTGTTGTGTTTATTTTCCTCATTAAACTAGAGCTTAGGAAGCAGGATAAGTGTTAAAGCATATGTGTTGAATGGATGGATGGATTGATGGATAGATGAAGATAGATGAATGGATGAGTCATCTTTGAATAGTCCTCCTCAGTGATAGAGTCAAGGAAAGTGACACACAGAGAGGGAAAGTGATGAATACCAGGCTTGCTGATAACTTGTTATGCATTCTTTACCGTGAAGCACTTGCTTCTTTCATATCAAGCTTTTAAAGCCAGAGCACCTTGGTTTCCATTCCAAAATCAAGAAGCCGACTGCCCTGACTTAGGTCAAATTGAGCTGTTGCTAACTTCTTCCTTACTTTGGGTTGGAATTGCCTCCCTGAACATTCACTGTTCATCCAAATACAACTTCTTGTGCCACTCACACATTTACTCCTTTTTCCTTCCTCAAGCCTTCAAACCCATGAAGATTTGTTATCATGTCCTTTAATAGTCATCTTAAAAATGTGTTATAACCAATTGGTTAACCTAACCTAATGTTGGAGTATTCTGGTATGATTAGTACTTGTTGGGTCCTGAAGGGAGAAAAATCCATTTACTCAGAAGCAGGAAATCAGAAGTGGTCATGATGTAGGTTATCAGCCTAGTATTCCTTTTTCTGGGTGCTGCCCCTCCCACCCCCATCCACATGGTTCATTGGCAACAACCATGCATGTAAAACGTGGTCCATGCCCTGGCCATAGATGATTGGCTCATGGGTAGGTACATTCTCCAAGTTAAGCCAATGAGCCCCTTCTCCAAAGAATTTAGGAGTTGGGGCCAAGAGATTTCACTATGTGGTCTAAAAGAGTGAGAATGAAGCAGATACTCAGAGAAAAGCAAAGAAAGAGGTAGAGCAAGGATTTCTTAGGCTCCTCACAACACTCCAGTCCCTCGTGCTGGCCATTCCTGGGTCCCAGCAGCTTCCTTGTCCTTGGGGTCTGTGACACTCAGTAAGTTTGTAACAAATCCCTTCCTTGTGCCCGAGTTAGCATGAGTGGGTTCTGTGACTTGCTCCCAGCATCCTAATAAATGCATCACCCAACTCAGGAAGATTACTCACCCCAGCTTTGAAGCCAAACTGAGAAGGTGCCAATACATTCCCAGTGTAGCCCATAGCATCACAGGATGGGCCACAGTGGTCCCAAGGGTCTTGTTGGTCTAAACCAAAGCAGAGGATGTCAGTTGCCTAGCTACTTACTTGCAAGCACTTGGCTCCTCCAATGGAGATCAGCCCAGCCAGAAGGCCCAACATCATGGCCAGCCAAGGAGAAAGGATCAGGTGACATGGGGCACCCACAGCCACACCTCCTGCCAGTACAGCATTGTGGATATGAACCTGTAAAGAAATAGCTTGTGAGTGAATGAAGTGGGTTACAGAGAGGATACCCTTTTGTGCACAGTACTCAGCAAGCTCACAACAAGGCAAAACCATAATGTCCTTTTTGCTTCACTGATCCTGAAACCATCCCTTCTCCTTGGTTGAGACCTTCATCAATGGGCTTATCTCACCCCCATTCTCAGGCTTGGGGAGCAGTTACCCTGGTTTGTAAGCATTTAGGGATCAGCTTGAAAGTGTACGTTACTCAGCATCCTTGCCATCCTTCATGCTTAGGCACTTAAACTCTCTGATGCCTCAATTTTTCCACCAGGAAAATGGGAGAGTGCTTGCATACCTACTCAATAGGGTTATTGGAAGAATTAAATGAGTTACCACATGTACGACCCTTAGTACCTTGCACTGAGCGTGAGTAAATGCTCAATAAACATAAGCCATTGTTATTGCTTTTTATTACTATTATTGGTTACTTGACGCCTACACCATTCCATATGACTGGACCTAGTTCCAAAAGCTAGGCCTTGTTCCTGGGTCACATCTCTGCCATGCCCTTCATTCCTCTAGACCTGGGGCTTCGTCTTGCTCTTACTCTACCCTTCCCCCCAACTCTAACGAGGTGTTGGTACTTTGGCCTCTGGGACCAGCTGCAGAAAAGAGGGAGACTCTCAATAACATGGACTGACACGTGACTGCAACAATTGTTGCTCAAACATAGCAACAATGCTGAGGATGGCCCAGGACAGTACAACACTTGGTTCTCTTACACATAAGTCACCATAAATTGGAACCCACTTGACAGCAGCTAAAACCAACCAACTGCTGAACTTCCCTGAGGACCAAGGCCCTCACCTGTCTCCCTGAATATTCCTACTTTGTCTACTCCCAGACATGCTATCACCATGGAGCTCACCTGTGAGGACCCCCATCTCCCTTCAATGCTGGGCTTATGCCATTAAGCTATCATCTATCACCACACTCTGTCCACACCAGGCCCCCTGCCCCTTGACTTTCCCCCACCACCTCTGGCTGGCTGACCTCATGCCCCAATTGTCATGGGAACCTGTTTTGTCTTCAGTTCTAACTTCTCACCCTTCTCTTCCCACAAAACTTACATACACAAGTCCCCCAGTTCTGTTAATAATAGCAGCTAATATTTGCCTAGCACTTATGCTACATTAAGCACTTTACATGCATTTTCTTTTTATTCCCACTTCACAGATGAGGCTCAAAAAGTTTAAGTTGCTTGACCAAGGTTACATAGCTAGTGTAACAGACTTATTTACTTCTGATTCTGATAATTCCATTGTTGAAATTTCTTGAAGGAAAGGAGGAGAGTGACTAATGCTATTGTTTTATTATTATTATTATTATTATTTTTGTCCTGCTGACTTGCTCACGATAGCTGGTTTTAGTAACTAGAATCACAGGGCTTGGATTTGGGTCTGTTTGATGTCAAAGCTCATGATTTAATCACTCCCAAGAGAGCCTTTGATTACGTCACAGCCTCCTCAGTTGCAGTGTCCATGATGACACCCCAGTGCTCTCCCCGATGCTGCACATGATACTGCAGACATGGAGCAAGCTCTTTCCCAAATCATGGGGCCGGCACTGAGGATGGGGACATGAGTATGTGTGTCTGGCCTAGAGGACCTAAGTGCTGCCCAAAGGCTGCCTCCCCAGTTCCCTCCTTACCATGTTGATCTTTCCTCGGGGGTGAGCCAAGGCCGACACCGAGATGGCTGTCACTGCACTGACCGCAAGAGCATAGTGGGTGTTGAACACGGCGTTGTTCCTTTCTTTTGGAATGTCCAGCAGCGCAGAGTTGAAACTTGGCCAGAACATCCACAGGAAGAGGGTGCCTGGGGGTCAGAGCGGGCCACTGGCCAGAATCACCATTTCTGCTCCAAAGTCCTGAGCCTCCAGGGGACTTCAGATGAGAAGATTCCCAGGGCTAGCTGGCCTGTCACTTTCTAGCTATGTGACTTTGGGCAAGTCATATCTTCTGTCTGAATTTTCCAGATGGTAGGAAGTAGCTAGCATTTTTTTTTTTTTTTTTGCCAGCAAGAAAACAGTCCCAGAGAGCTGAAATTACCAAATCTTAGGCCTCTTGACCCTGCTCCATGATGGCCAAATGTTTATTTTTAAAAATTGATGGCTGCTTTGATTTGGCCCCATGGCCTGATAGTCATTCACCTGCTGTCAAGCTCATTGTCAGGTTTTCTCTAAGCCTCTCCCAGCTGCCTAAGGTCATCATTCTCACTGCAGCTTTTCAAAATGCAGCATTACTTCGGTTCTCTTCCTTTTCCCACCCTTGTTCCTCCATCTACTCTGGGTCCCACTTTCTTTACTTGTCCAATTCCCTCCTTCTAGTCAAGGGTGAAGGAGCTCTGGTAGCATAATGGCTAAGTCACTTGCCTGCTAACCAGAAGGCTGGAGGTTCAAACCCACCAGTCACTCCTCGGAAGGAAGGTTGGGCAATCCTACTTCCGTAGTGATACTGCCTCGGAAACCCAAGGAGGGGTCGCTATGAGTTGGGGCCGACTCGGCGGCACATAACAACAACAACAAGTCAAGGGTGAAAGGATTGGATACATTTCTTCCAGTCACTCCATAGAATATTAATAAAAAGAGGTCCCTAGATGAAAATGCTTGATTAAAAGGCATTAATTCAACCAACACTACTCTCAGAAGTGAGTCTTTATGGGAAGTTTTCAGACACCCAGGGCAGGTGTAGAAAGGAGTGATTTTTTTTTTTTTTTCCAACAGGGGCTTCTTTGAGCCTCTCAGGTATGTGATCACCCACCCCACCTTGTCCTTACCTAACATGGCAAACAAACTGGAGTTCGTTGCTGTCTGATCTTTCTCTTCTGCTTCCTTGGACAGAGGCTTTGAGAGGCACCAGGCCACAGTCAGCCCAAAATAGGCTGCAAACACATGGATGTGCATCATGCTCATGTGATTGTTCATCTGTAAGAAACCCAGCAGGAGCAGTGAGCACCGGCCTCCTCTGTCCACGGGAAAACCCCTCATGTTCCTTAGAGAAAGCTTTGCATGTCATGAAGCAAGTGGGACTTGAAGTCATGATGCTGGTGTTCAGAGCTTATCCAGCCCAGCATGCATTCCCCTTCAGAGATGGTCAGAAGGGAGCTATGGACTGATTCCAGGGAGGTCACTGGCTGGCCTTTATCAGAGCATTTGGCTTCCAGTTGATTACAACTCATGGTGAGCCTATGTGTGTCAGGGCAGAACTTCGCTTTGTAGGGTTTTCAATGGCTATGATCTTTTGGAAGGAGATCACCAGGGCTTTTTTTTTTTTTTTTTTTTTGCCGAGGTGCCTCTGGGTAGATTCAAATGGCCAAACTTTTGGTTAATAACTTAACAATTTGTGCGTCCCGGGTACTCTGACTTTTATCAGTAGCTCCTTAATGGTTGTGACAGAGGTCCACTTGTTGTTGTTATGTGCCATCGAGTTGGACCCGACTCACAGTGACTCCTCCTTCGGCTTCCGAGGCAGTATCACTATGGAAGTAGATTGCCCAACCTTCCTTCTGAGAAGTGGCTGGTGGGTTTGAACCGCCAGGCTTCTGGTTAGCAGTCAAGTGCCTTAGGCATTATGCTACCAGAGCTCCCAGAGGTCCACTTAGGTGGGGCAAAAAACCACAGAAACAGGCACTGCACTATTTCTTCCTTTTCAGTGGATTTCCAACTATTTGCATGGAGGCATGAGGGATAAACTTTGCAACATGAAGCAGCCAGATTTCCTTATAATACTGAATTTAAGTCCTCGGGAGATTCCAAATATATGCTGATTTTGCTTTATGAATATCAAATGTAGTGATTCTTACTAACACACTTACTGGGTTACTAGTAAAGCTTCTCAGCTGTGTCTCCAAAAAGATCCAGAATTGGCAGGATTTCTACTTGACACCACCTTGGGTTGAGTCACCATCACTACTACCCCAAATTATTGCACAAGCCTCCTAACTGGCCTCTCCGTTTCCAGCCTTGCCCCCTAACAACTGTTCTCCATGAAGCAGCCAGGGTGATCCTGTCGAAATGTAAGCTAGACTACCAAAGTCTCAGAGAAGAAACTAGGCTACAGGGCTAATAGCCTTCGCGAGTCATGGCCTCATCTACCCTGAGACCAGAACAAGTAGATGGTACCCGGCTACCACTGCTGACCACTCTGATCAGGGCCACAATCAATGGACCTTGATAGAATGGGAGAAAGTCGCAGAACAGAACTCAGATTCTTCAAAAGTCTAGACTTACTGGACCAGTTGAGACTGGAGGATTCCCTGAGACTATCACCCTGAGATACTCTTAAACCTTGAAGCAAAACTATCCCCTGACATCACCTTTTAGTGAAATGGTTTGGCACACAAAATAAAGGATCTCACCCATGAGCACAAGGCTCTATTTAAAATAAAACAAAAACAAAAACCTATATGAGACTGTGGTAGTTAAATTTGTATGTCAACTTGGCTGGGCCTGGTTGAGTGGCTGCGCAGCTGGTGGTAGTTATTCCCCATAATGAGACTGGCAATCAGCTCCATGGTGGGATCTACCACAAGCAGCTGAGTAGCTGCCTTTGGGATGTGGTCTGCTTCCTGTATATAAGGAAAAGCCTTGGGAATGGTCTCTAGCCTATGGCACACTTGGACCCTGCATGTAGCCGTGTCGTGTTCAGCAGCCTGCTATGCTCTGCCGACCTGGGGACTTACAATGGATTTGAATTAATGGCCTGCCATGTGGTTTGGTAACATGAGGACTATGCTATTTTATTTGTCTACCTTGGGCTTGTTAGCCTCAGCAGCCAGTAGCTGCCTGAGTAGAGAGATGCCTCTAGCTTCAGTGTGCCAGGAACAAGAGGCAGAGCTGAAGCCCAAGGTCAAGGAGCTTTCACACAGTTCATAGAGCCTGGCACTTGGAACTCAGACTACTAGCCTCCTGAACTGTAAGAGAATAAACCCCTGTTTGTTAAGGCCATCCCCTTTGTGGTATATTCCTGCCAGAGAGGCACTAGGGAACCAGAACAGAGACCAAAAGGTCAATAATTACTATAAAGATGAGAAGAGGACAGGGAAACGAGGGTTATGGAAATTGAACAACCAGGATGGAATTAAAGAGAGTACTGACATATTGTGAAAAATGGGGAAAAAAAAAAATGTAAGTCAGACCATGTCACTTCTCTGCTCAGAATCCTCCAGTGGCTTCCATCTTACTCCAAGTAAAAGTCAGCTTAGGACCTGCAGGACCTGCAGGGTCTACTCTCCCTCTAACCTCTCTTATTCACCTCCTGCTCTTATAGATTCCACTCCAGACACACCATCCTCCTCTCTCTTTCTCAGACCCATCAGGTATACTTCCACTTCAGGGCCTTTGCACTGGCTATCCTGCTGCCTGAACTGCTCTTATCCCCAGTAGCAGTGTAACAAGGGGAGGGTGGAGGGAGCAGTCCACCCTGGGTGCAGGAAATAAGGGGGTGCATTGTCTGTAGGTTCCCATACAATGTCTCCTAGGGGATGCCTAATACACATCTACTCTACCCCTCACCTTTAACCCTGATCCTACCACATTCAAACCTGAATTCTGGATTTTTCCTCCCAGATCTATTCTACACCAGTGCTCCCCATCTTGGTAAATGGCACTGTCATCCACTCAGTTGCTCAGGATCCAAATCTTGGAAACATCTTTGACTCTTCTCTTTTTTCATACCCCATGTGCAATCCATTGGCAATTTCTGTCAGTTCTCCCTTCAAAGTGCAGCCAGAATCCAGCCCCTTCCCACCACCACCATGGCAGTCAACCTGGATGATTGCAACAGTCTCCTCTCTGGTCTCCACTTGCTTCCACTCTTGCTCATTTCAAGCTATTCCTAACCCAGCAGTCAGAGAGATTTCCTTAAAACATAAGTCAAATCATGTCTCTCCTCTGCTCAAAACTCCCCAGTGTTCCCTGTATTTCTCAAAAGCCCCTGCTATGGCATGCTGAGGGGACAGCAAAGAGGGCTATGCTTTTTTAGAACATGAATCATCTTGTTTAAGGTCTCTGAATAGCACAAATAATTTTTTTTACTATTAACCAAATGGATTACCAAACAGACTATTAACCAAACAGACCCACCCAGCAGTGCCACAGAAGAAAGGCCTGGTGATCTGTTTCTGTAAAAATTGTAGTTGTTGAATCCGTAAAAGCTACAACCAAGCAAACCCTGTGGAACAGTTCTACCTGTAACACATGGAGTCACCATGAGTAAGAATCGATTTGATGACAATGGTTTTTTTGTTGTTGTTATTGCTGTGATCATCTTGTTTGATTAATTACTCCAAAACTCCTATAAGATAGTAATGTTATCCTCATATTATTAATATAATGTTATCCTCATAAACAGATGAAGGCAATGAAGTTGCAAGAGGTTAAATTGCCCAGAGTCTCATGGGATTTATGGTAGAACTGGGATGCAACTACCCCAGTCTTTGATTCCAAGTCCAGTATTCTTTCTCCTAAACCATCCTGAGGATCTGGGCTCCCCTTGGGCTCTTTGACTACCTTGCTGTGTGATCTTGGACAATCTCTTCCTCTCCCTGAACATCAGCTTCCTTCTCCATGAGATGAAGATGTTGGCCACATGACAACTCAGGGTCAGTGCTATGGCAGGGGAGCTGGGAGGGTCATTTGGCCTGAGCTCACCTTCACAGAGAGTCCCTGCCTGGTAGAAAAGATTACAACCACTCCTCTCTTATTGACATGGTTAAGTTCCAAAGACCAGATAATTAAATGAAAATTGGCATTATTTGAAATGGAGGATGACCACATCATTACATAACTGCCAAATCACATCATTACATAACTGCCAAATCACTGAGAATCATAGCCCAGCCAGGTTAACACATAACCTGAACCACAGCAGCCAGCATTCCTGTCACCTCACACCTTGGCATTTAGCATTTGTTATTGCCAGACATACATAGTTAATGCACAAAATAGTTGGCTCACAGATTTTTACTATTGTCAGAAATACAAAATGCTGGATGACAAGATAGCTGATCAAGAAGGAGTAGGTGTTACATAAGGAGCTCTGGTGATGTTGTGCCTAGGGCATTTGACTGCTAATCAGAAGGCTGGTAGTTCAAACCCACCAACCACTCCGTGGAAGGAAGACTGGGCAATCTACTTCCATAAAGATTTACCACCTCAGAAACCCAAAGGGGGTCGCTATGAGTTAGAATTGACTTGATGGCAGTGAGTTTGGTTTCTTTTGGTTAGGCATTATGTGCTTAGCTTCTAATTGAAAAGCTGGCAGTTTGAGTGCACCCAGGAACAATGGGAAGAAAGTCCTGGAGACCTACTTTGAAAAAAATCAGCCATTGAAAATCCTGTGGGGTCATTGAACAATTTGTATAGAAATTTTTGAATGGGAACCTAAAGTACTGTGTGAACCTTCACTGAAAACACAATAAAATATTGTTTAAAAAAGAAAAGAAAACTCTATGATGCTTAATTCTATTCTAACACATGTGGGGTCACCATAAATTAGAATCGACTTGACAGTAACTGGTTACTGGTTTTGAAAATAGCTCCAAACTTAAGCCTTTTGACAATCTCACCTATGAGATTACACATACAGTGACTGACATGCTGACTAGACTGAAAGAAGACGCTGGTCAGACAACTAGACAGCTTCACTCCCTTTAGGACTGTGGGAATTATACATTTCATAATTATCTTGCAAATAGCATAATCCTGCAGTATCTCGTTTTGAAAGTTAAGAGCATTAGTTTGCTGGGTTTAAACATTTGACATAGAGCACATTTTATAACCTCATTCGGGAGTGCTTTAATTTTTTAAAATCTCAGAAGTTGTACAAAATGGAGGTGGCAGTCCCCCACACTCCCCCTTCTTACCCTTCACCCTAAGATTCCCCTTCAAGGAGCCATGACTCACATCGAGGACTTGCTTGCTGACCATCCTCATGGTGCCGAAGGCTGTCACTTCCACCAAAGTCATCACCACCAGCTGCGCTAAGTTGACTTTCCCCAGGACAGCACCCACTGAGATCAGCACAGACATGGCGCTCATGGTGGCCAGTTGAATACTGGTAGAAAGAGACAGGCTGACGAGTGAGAGGATGTCCTCTCTTACATTCATCCATTCAGCAAACATCTGGTGAGTCCCTAGTCATTAGGAGATTTCTACCCATACAGGGGACATACTGAACAGTTGCAGTTTCTTTCATCCCCTTCTCCATCAGGACATCTTTGCTCTGTGTTATTGGTCAACACACACTCCTCCACACTGAAGATGAGCTGAGGTTCTCAGATAAGGTGTCAGGGTGAGTTAAGGAGGCTGACTGTTCACACAGGACCCCTTTCTGGGATCTCAATGGGGATTCTGCCCACGGATTCTTCTCGTCTGCCATCATCACCCACAGATGCTCGACAGAGGGCGCTCTTCACCTGCCAGCCCACCTGACATGCAGTCACTGCCATCCTAATCTGTGGTCACTGTCTCTCTTTTCCCTTTCCAGGGTAGTAGAAAGAGGCTGGGTTTGGAAGTAGGACAACCCTGGCTTCCAGGCCTAGCTTTTCCATTTGAACAGCTACTTAACCTCCCTGAGCCTGTTTCTCTATCTATACAATAAAGGTGATGGTAATATTGATCATAATACTTCTTTCATGCTGGTGGTGTGGGGATTAGCAGGACTATTGGTGCATATATATCTAGCACTGTGACAGGCACAAGGAGCTAACCCATGATCTAACTTATGAATAGACGCTGATATTATTACTTATATACTTCTTGGGTGTTTCAAACAGTTAAGCACTCAGCTACTAACAGGAAGGTTGGCAGTTTGAACCCACTCAGAGGCATCTCAGAAGGAAGGTCTGGCAATCTGCTTCCAAAAGGTCCCAGCCATGAAAACCCTATGTAGTGCAGCTCTGTGCTGCAACATATTGGGTCACAATGAGTCAGAACTAACTCAACGACAACTGGCACTGGTATTACCGCATTTTTCCTTCCCTGACAGATGAGACCCAGTGTAGGGAATCAGGAGGAGGCAATAATGTTGTCTTCAAGGTGCTTATGACAAGGCTGATACCATGAGGCTGTTCGCTAAAAATATCCATGACTATTATCAGGCGGCTAGAGGGGTTCACTGGGCTGAGAAAGGAATGTAGACTAGACTCATCAGGGAGGGCTTCCTGGGGGAGGTGGTGCTGAACTGGACAATCCATAGTGGTTAAACCAACCTGCTGTCCTCTGGGGCAATTTCCTCTGGGCCTCTCCTCCTCCTGGGAAAATGATGATTCTTTAACCACCACTACAACAATAATAATTTATCGAGTACTCTGTAATAGGCTTATACTCATATCACCTCATTTAAATTTTAATCCTCTGAGAAACCTCTGTAAAATGGTGCCAGGGTTCCATTCAGTACCGCTGTTTCAGAAAAGAGTGCATTGAAACTAGAAGAGGTAACATTTTTGTTGATGACAAATAGGAAGCACTAGCCCACTTGGCCTGGATCCAGAACCTGCACTCTGAAGTGTGGATACAGCCACCCCAGTGTTTGCTGCCCAAGCAGCTCAAGGCTTCAGAGAGAAGGCCAGAGAAGGGCGAAGGACAGGCACAGGGGTCTCATAAAGACCAGGAGTTACTTAGAATAAGGTACCACTTGATGTTTTGTCATGGCTCCACATGTTATACCTATCCAGAGTACTTGCAACTGTAAAAGGTGTGTGCCAGTGATGGCATCTGAGATCTTAGGGGCCAATTGGGGAAATGCTGAGACAGTAAAGCACAGTGGTTAGGAGTGCAGTCCTAGGCCACACTGACTGGACTAGAATCCTGACTCAGCCACTTCCTGGCTGTGTGTCCTTGGGCAAATTATTTAACCACTCTGTGCCTCAGCATCCTTGTCTACAAGGAAGAGGCAACACCTCTGCAGCTGTCATGAAGATGAAATGAGTTCATATATATAAAGAACAATAAGAAGGTAAGTTATTGCTATTATTTTCTAGAGGGAGCCCTCTTAGACCTTTCAAAATATAGCATTAAAAAAAAAAAATCACACCACTGAGTGGTTCCTTTTATTTTCCTGTTTTAAGAACTATTTACTAAGTCCTTAAAAACAAAGGAGGACAAAGATGAATAAGACGGGCCTTGCCCTGAAGGAACTGACTGTGCATGACTCAAGGCAGAACCAATTCAGTGCCAAGTCAGGCGGCACAAGTATGGTGTGGCCCTGTCCCTGGTGGTAGGCTTGGATACCGCCTATCAGCCCCGCCCTGGCAGGAACCCAGTCAGGAAGGAGCCCATTGTTCAATCTGGGAACCTAGTGGGAGGGGGGTTGCAGCTGGGAGGATGCAAGTGATCAGGGACAGGGGCAGGGGAGTTCACATGGGTTCTAAAGGCCCCCTTTTTTTTTTTTTTGTCTTCCTTAATCATATTAAGAGCAAATAGGAGGACACTTCAGGAGGGGAGAGTTACAAGGGAAGCAGCTTAAGATAATCCTGATTGTTAAGACTACTGGAGTCCCTGGGTGGTACAAATGGTTAAGTGCTCGATTATTAATGGAAAGGTTGGCAGGTGCCTCAGAAGAAAGGCCTGGTGATCTCCTTCTGCAAGGCTGCAGCCCTACGGAGTACCATTCTACCCTGACACATATGGGATCCCCATGGGTCAGAATTGACTCAACAGCTGGTTTGGTTCAGTTGATTAAGGCTATTTTAACAGGAGGCTGAAGGGTTATGTGACTTTCCTTCTCAGCCAAGCTGTCACTACTGTCAGAAGTCCCCCACAGTTTGTGCCTTTTGTCATTTCCCTAGTGGTTACTCGGGTTTGTTACTCCAATTTGCCTTTAAACCTCTGTTGTTGTTGTTGTTGTTATGTGCCATCGAGTAAGGGAAAATATGGAGAGTTTATTTTCAGGGACAATGGGGAGCAGCCTAGATTGCATTTCATACACAGCTCTGGAGTGGGCAGGAAGGGTTGCAGGGTAGGTAAAAGGCCATCTCCAACCTTTAGCTGTGTGACCCTAGGTAAGTGCCTTACTGTCTCTGAGCCTCCATTCCTGGGTATATATATATTTGTCAAGGGCCTGGCACAGTGCCTGGCTCGTGGAGAGATGTTCAACAGCTGGGCCCAGAGAGTTGGCAGGGTCTCAGAGAGGAGTGTAGGGTCACCTTGACAAGGGACAGGGTCTCTAAAATGCCTAAGACCCATCTTGCCACCACCTGGGCAGATTCAGAGATTCAGAGTTGTATAAAATCCCCCCAAAAACAAAAAACCACCCAGGTTTTAAGGAAAAATTTTACCAAGATTTTCTATTAAGTGCTAATGTCTTTTTAAAAAATATACAACTCGATGAATTCTTGTACATGCTCCTGTTAACATGCTATACACCTCCAAGGTTAAGACAGAGAACATTTACTGGACCCTGCAAGGTTCCTTTGTGTCCCTTCAGCACCATCACCACCATCCACAGCCATCGTGTCGATTCTGACTCATAGTGACCCTGTAGGACAGAGTAGAACTGCCCACAGGTTTCCCAGGGAACCCTGATGTAAATCTTTATGGAAGCAGACTGCCTCATCTTTCTCCTGCAGAGCAGCTGAACCCAACCTTTTGAGTAGCAGCTGAATGCTTTAACCACTACACCACCAGAGTTCCTTCCTCTTTTCCCAGGTGACCACCCTTCTAACTTCTAGCACCATGAGTTAGTTTTCTTAGCTCTTAGAATTTATTGAAATAAGTCAAAGTTAATCTAAGGAAAGGAAAGGAATGGCTATTACTTCTTTCTTTTCAAGAGACTGTCTCTCGAGATGTGGCATTTCTATTTCTTTTTATCTAATCTCAATCTTTCAATTTTTCTAAGAATCTATATTTATTCTATAATTTAAAAAAATCATAATCAATAATAAACAAGGAAGGATCCAAAGAGGGTTGTAAGTCTGGCCCCTTATAAAGCCACAGAAGTAGAGTTGCCAGATAAAATACAGGATACCCAGTCAAATTTTAATTTCAGATAAACAACAAATAATATTTTAGTATATGTAGGTATATCATGTATGGCATTGGTACTAAAAGGAGAGGGGGACATTCTAATTCTTCAAGAATGCACCCTCTTAGGCCTCACACCTTCAAAAACCCAAGAGCTACTATCTGGTTACCTGGACAGTTTGATGACCACCTTGCCACTGAAGGACTGGTTCAGGAAGCCATCGAGAAGGACTGCCCATTGCACCCCGAGGGCCAGCATGAAGAGGTTGAAGGCCACACTGCTCCAGCCAAATCTCCGCAAAGATGAGGTGAGGAAGCCCAAGCCAAGGGCTGCCATGACGGTAATATTCTGGAAGACTGCACCGGGAGAGGTAGAGGAGGAGGAGAAGGAGGAAGCAGACAAGATGGAGGGCTGTGTGAAAATAGAGTTTTTAAGTGTCCTTGGTCAAGTTACTTCACTTCTTTGAGCCTCAGTTTCCTCATGTGAATAAAGAGGATGGTACATATATATACTCTGCAGGGTTGAGGTAAGGATGAAATGAGTTAATGCTGGTTAAGCAATTAAGGGAGGTCTGGCCCATAATGAGTGCTCAGGAAGTAAGCAATTATTATTATTATTAAGTGTAATAGTATCAGCTAGGGTAAAGGAGCCATGGTGGTATAAAGGTTAAGTGCTCAGCTGCTAACAGAAAGGTTGGCAATTAGAATCCCCCCAGCAACTCTGGGGGAGAAAGACCTGAACATCTTCCCCTTGTAAAGAGAACAGCCCAGAAAACTGTATGGGGCAGTTCTACTCTGTCACACCGGGTCACTATGGGTCAAATAGACTCAGAACCACCTCACGAAGTATTGGGACCAGTGCTTGGCACATAATTGACACTTAGTAAAAGTAATTACAGTTGTTATTGGTGATCAGCTTTAACTCCCTGATCATATGCATGAGAAAATAAAGGCAAAGAAGCTGAGTGACTTGACCCAGGTCACACAGAGAGAAGGAGGGCAGAGGCAGGCCCATAGCCTCCATAGGCAGGAACCAAAGTATCTTAGTAGAAAATAGCCCTCTCCCTTTCCCACCTGCTGTGAGGGATCAGGTGAGCCAGTACAAAGCACAGGTTCATTTGGGTGACTTCCTTTTTTGGCTTTATACTCCAAGCAGAGGCTACTGTGCAGGTGAGTGGAGGCATGGTAAGAGGCTTACCTGGTGCAGGGAGGAAGGAGTCCAGCAGGGAAAAGGGTGAGGGTTTGACAGAATTCTAGTTTTGAAAAATAATCAGCATCTTGGGCTTAAGAACTAGATGGCCTGGACTTAAATCAGGGCTCTGGCACTTTCTAGCTGTGAGGTCTTTAGTGATTTAACCTCTCTGAGCTTTAATATCAGTCTAACACTCTGGTAGCATAGTGCCTAAGGCACTTGACTGCTCACCAGAATGCTGGC